TCTAGTAGAACAGACTGCTAAAAGAAGTAATACCATTAGTTAATGATTCAGTCTTGAATATGATCAACCTCTCTCTTATAATTTCCTATGTACCACAGGCCTTCAAGCCGGTAGTAAATAAACCATTACTTTAAAAGGCATCATTTGACCCTTTAAGTAAGGCCAATCTCTAACCTTCCTTTCATTCCAAAAATTCTTGAACGAGCAGTTGTCAAACAGCTAACAGGTCATCTGCAAAGGAATGGCTTATTCGAAGAGTTTCAGAGCCCATCACAGTACAGAAACAGCTTTAGTGAAGGTTCCAAATGACCTTCTTATGGCCTCTGACAATGGACTCATCTCTGTGCTTGTCCTGCTAGACCTCAATGCAGTGTTCGATACTGTCGACCATAATATCCTATTAGAGCGATTAGAGCATGATGTAGGTATTACAGGTGCTGCAATGCAGTGATTTGTATCATATCTATCTAATAGACTCTAATTTGTTCATGTAAATGGAGAGTCCTCTTCCACAGAGTTCCACAGGGTGCTAGGACCAATTCTGTTTACATTATGCTTCCCTTAGGCAGTATCATCAGAAGGCATAGCATACATTTTCGCTGCTATGCAGATCACACCCAACTCTACCTATCTGTGGAGCCAAAGAACACACACCAAATGGTTAAACTTCAGAAATAGAATAGAATAGCCCTATATCGTCATTGTACATGTACAACAAAAATGTGGGTTACTCATACCATGCCTCAGATTTGTGAGATGATTGGACAGAGCCTGAGAGTGGGGGGATAGGGCTTGTTTACAGTTGGAATGGCCCAGAGGAAGAAGCTGTTAGTGTTAGTTAGTGTCTGGAGGTGTGGGACCTCCATGGTTGGCAGAGGGCAGCCAGTGATTTTTTTGGGTGGTGTTAATTACCCTCTGTGCAGCCTTCCTGTTTTCAGTTGTGGCCCCTGTGTACCAATCACACAAGCAGTAGGAAAGCATGCTCTCCACTGAGGAGCTGTAGAAGACCAGCAGCAGCTTTTGGTCCAGGTTAGTCTTCCCCAGGACACGGATCAAGTGTACCTGCTGAAGACTAAAGACTCTGGTCTGCTTCCCCCAACTTCCTTACTACACCCCCACAAATTGTCTTACAGTATGGGTGTCAGACTTGTTAAAATCCAGTGGCACCAAGGCATTATACAATAAAATAATGTGATTAGTACATAAGTAAAATAAATTCCTATACAGGGGCAATGGTGTTGTGAGTCTAGGTGAGATCAGCAGAGCTGCAGGTGCCCAAAAACCTGAAAGTGGAGACGTATTTCACCCATGCTCCGTTTATAAGGAGAGGGGAGTGGACCTGTGTGTGCCCTCTGAAGTCCATGATGAGTTCTTTTGTTTTAAGGACATTTAGCTTCAGGTTATTTTCTGATCCCCAGTGGGACAAATTCTCTACTGCCGTCCTTGTACACTGTCTCATCTCAATCACAGATCAGCCCTACTACGGTGGTGTCATTGTCGTACTTGACGATCAATCAGTTAAATGAGTTCAACTGATTGAGATCTGTCTTAAAGACTTAAAGAACTGGATGATGACTGTCCTGTTTCTCCATCCATCCATCTTCTTCCACTTTATCCGGGGCCGGGTCTACTCTGAACCCCTCCCGGATGGCCGAACTTCTCACCCTATTTCTAAGGGAGAGGCCAGCCACCCTTCGGAGGAAGCTCATTTCCATCGCTTGTATCCGCGATCTCGTTCTTTTGGTCACTACCCACTGCTTGTGGCCATAGGTGAGTGTATGGACGTAGATCGACCAGTAAACTTAGAGCTTAGCTTATACACTCAGCTCCCTCTTCACCACGACGGACTGGTGCAGCGTCCGCATCACTGCGGCCGCAGCACCAATCCGTCTGTTGATCTCCGGCTCCCTTCTCCCATCACTCGCGAACAAGACCCCGAGATACTTGAACTCCTCCACTTGGGGAAGGTACTCATCCCCGACCCAGAGTGGGCACTCCACCCTTTTCCGGCTGAGAACCATGGCCTCAGATTTGGAGGTGCTGATCCTCATTCCCGCTGCTTCATACTCGGCTGCGAACCATTCCAGTGTGAGCTGGAGGCCATCACCTGATCAGGCCAACAGAACCACATCATCTGCGAAAAGCAGAGATGAGATTCTGAGGCCACCAAAGTGAAAGCCCTCCGCCACTTGGCTGCACCTAGAAATCCTGTCCATAAAAATTATGAACAGAACCGGAGACAAAGGGCAGCCCTGGCGGAGCCCATCACCCACCGGAAACGAGTCCGACTTATTGCCGGCAATGCAAACCAAGCGGTTCGCACTGGATAGGGATCGAATGGCCCGTAGCAATGGGCCAGACACCCCATACTCCCCCAGCACCTCCCACAGGACACCCCGAGGGACACGGTCGAATGCCTTTTCCAAGTCCACAAAACACATGTAGACTGGTTGTGCAAACTCCTATGCACCCTCAAGTATCGTTGAGAGGATGAAGAGCTGGTCCAGTATTCCGCGACCAGGACGAAAACAGCATTGCTCCTCCTGTATCTGAGGTTCGACTAGCGGACAAACTCTCCTTTCCAGCACCCTGGCATAGACTTTCCCAGGGAGGCTGAGGAGTGTGATCCCCCTGTAGTTGGAACACACCCTCCGGTCCCCTTTCTTAAAGATGGGGACCACCACCCCGGTCTGCCAGTCCAGGGGTACTGCCCCTGATCTCCACGCAACATTGTAGAGGTGTGTCAACCAGGACAGCCCTACAATGTCCAGAACCTTCAGGAACTCGGGGCGGAACTCATCCACACCAGGGGCTCTGCCACCAAGGAGTTGTTTAACTGGCTCAGTAACCTCGCCCCTGGTGTTTATACACCTCTCTGTATTTAATCATGAATTATTATTATTAATCTCTGGCTCTTTTCCACAGCATGTATTCTACTCTGACTTCCTCACCTCACCTTCCTCCTCGGAAGTCAGTTGGATTAAGGAGGTCTATACACAGTGTAGGTAGAGCACAGCTTTCCCCTCCTGAGACGCCTGACTGTTTGCCCTCCAGGTCTCACTGTCGTTACCCACGTGAGCATTGAAATCTCCCAGTGGGATAACAGAGTCTCCAGGTGGAGCACCTTCCAGCACCCCACCCAGGGACTCTAAGAAGGCTGGGTACTCTGAACTGCTACTCGGCGCATAAGCGTAGATGACAGTCAGGACCCGTTCCCCGACCCTAAAGCGCAGGGAACAAACCCTCTCATCCACCGGGGAGAACACCAACATACCAGCAGCAAGCCGAGGGCATATTAGAATACCCACCCCAGGCCGCCGCCTCTCACCAGGGGCAACTCCAGACTAAGACAGAGTCCAGCCCCTCTCCAGGACACTGGTTCCAGAGCCCAAGCCATACGTAGAGGTGAGCCCGACTATATCTAGCCGGTACCTCTTAACCTCACGCACTAACTCAGGCTCCTTCCCCACCAGGTAACCCTATCCCGGGCAGGGTAAACTATTCCCTCAATGTTTTTTCTCATAAGGGTGTCCTGTTTCTAAATTCAGATAAAAGTGAGGTTATTGCACTCAGTCCTAAAAATCTTAGAAATATGGTATCTAACCAAAGTCTTAGTCTGGATGGCATTATCTTGGCCTCCAGTAACACTGTGAGGAGCCTTGGAGTCATTTATGACCAGGATATGTCCTTCAATGCACATATTAAACAAATATGTAGGACTGCTTTATTCGATATGTGCAATATCTCTAAAATTGGAAATATCCTGTCTCAGAGAAACGCTGAAAAACTAGTTCATGCATTTATTACTTCTAGGCTGGACTACTGCAATTCATTATTATCATGATGTCTTAAAAACTCCCTGAAAAGCCTTCAGTTAATCCAACATCCTGTCAGGGATTGATGAGAGAGCAGATTTCTCCTATATTGGCTTCCCTTCATTAGCTCCCTGTTAAATCCAGAATTTAAAATCCTCCTCCTCACACACAAGGTCTTGAATAATCATGCCCAATCTAATCTTAACGACCTTGTAGTACCATTTCACCCCAATAGAGCACTTCACTTTCGCACTGCAGGCTTACTTGTTCTTCCTATAGTATTTAAAAGTAGAATGGGAGGCAGAGCCTTCAGTTTTCAGGCCCCCCTTCAGTGGAACCAGCTTCCAGTTTGGATTCAGGAGACAGACACTATCTCTATTGTTAAGATTAGGCTTCAAACTTTCCTTTTTGCTTAATGATATAGTTAGGGCTGGATCAGGTGACCCTAAATCCTCCCTTAGTTACTCTTCAATAGGTATCGGTTGCTGGACGCTTCCCATGATGCATTGAGTTTTTCTTCTTCACTTACCCTTTTCCCCCCTTACTGTGTTTATACACCTCTCTGTATTTAATCATGAATTATTATTAATCTCCTGCTCTTTTCCACAGCATGTATTCTACTCTGTCTTCCTCACCTCACCCCAGTCATTCAGCAGATGGCTCCACCCCCCTGAGCCTTGTTCTACCTTCTTCCTGTTAAAAGGAAGTTTTTTCCTTTCCACTGTTGCCAAGTGCTTGCTCATCAGGGGTCTTCTGATTGTTGGGGTTTTCTCTGTATGTATTATTGTAGGGCCTTTACCTTACAATATGAAATGCCTTAGATGACTGTTGTGACTTAGTTCAATATAAATAAAATTCAATTCAATTGAATATGAGGCACACGACTCTCTGTACAAATGAATAGGATCTTATTTTTTATGGTTTCCACTTTCTGTGATGTGATTTCGTTTGCGTTTGCTGCATGTTCTCTGCATGTTTTCTGCATGTTAGAATGATAGGACATGTCTGACTTTAGGTCAGAAGGGACTTCAGCAGATGGATGAGCAAACACACTCAGTATGCTTGTTTACTCAAAGGAGGGTTTAAAAAAAAAAACAAACAATGCAGAGGGGTTCTATGAAGCACAGTCTGACATTTTACCTTTCTCTGCACTAAGCTGCACCTGACTCAGTGAACAGGGGTACCTTAAAGCATGGTACCGCTCTGATGCTGGCCAGTCAGCGAGGCAATGTTTCCAGTGTCGAGTTTCTTCTGAAGCATGGAGCTGACCTAAACATCACCAACAAGGCCCAGGAGACACCGCTGTTTGCAGATGAATTGTGACATCACAGTGACATAATACAGAAAGTGCTTTAGTGAAGGTGTCATAAGTACTACCTTCAGAGGTTTGAATAATATATATTTAAGGAGCTTGGAAAGAAAAACGACTTGATTTCTTTATGTTTCTTTAAGACATTTGATAGGTTTGTAGCTTGAACCCATCCGCTGGAACGTTGAAGGCAATATAATTACACTGCAAAGCAAGACACAAGTAGGCAAGCTTCTTCATGTTTCTCGTGCACGGGAGAGAACCGGATAGGCACCGTTCCTTCGCTTGACCCCAGTTGCTCTCGTCCGTTCTCCCGTACCACTGTTCTTTTATTGAGGTTACATGAATATGCATAAGTTCATTAACATATGACGTCTACATACACACAAAGAGTACCTTGCCTGTGTGTGTGTGTGTGTGTGTGTGTGTGTGTGTGTGTGTGTGTGTGGACTGCTGATCAAAGGGTCAAACATCCTTGGTCAGGAAGAGGGTAGCCTCCCCCTCACCCTGGATGGTTCATCCTAGATAACACGGTGAGGAAGTCCTGCAGTTCATCTAAACAAAGAGCACTTAGACTAGAACAGATGCAACTACGTTAATCCTACCATAAAACAATAAGACACGGTATGACCTCTCATGCTCCCAAAGTGCTGTCTAATACACACAAAGTTTGCAGACTATCAAGGATCAAAACCTCTACCAATCTACAACTAATCACAAAACTCTAAGCATATATAAGTAAATATTTCTAAGCATAAATGACAATCAACAATACAAATCTAACATTTCCCCCCTTTTTGACCTTTATGCTTGAAAAGTTCCCAGGTATGAATACCTCATGTCTGACAGTTTCAATGCAAACATTTTTATACTCAGCATATGTCAAATCACCCTAAATTACTGTAATGATACACAGTTTAACAAATGTATTAGCAGTTATCCCATTCCTCATTGATCTCATCTCATGGCAAACTGCATCCCACAAACAAACAAAGAAATTGTTAATTTAATAGTGAAAATAAGAAGATAACATTTTCAAAAACATCTCAGCTTGGTGGTGCTTCCTCCGGGTGTGCACATCACATGTCTCTCTGCAGAGTGGTTTAAGCTCTGCAAAGCGTCATGAATGTCTCTTCCAGTTGTTTCCATCACTGTCCATAGGACCAGAGTCCAAATGTATGTAGAATAGACATTCAAACATACCAGTTGGTTTTGTTGTTCGTCAACATGGGTCTCAGCTATTTCCAAGCTGCAGACCTCTCAGCACTCTAGTTTTATGGCCTCCACCAACCCCCATCACCTCATTCAAGCCTTCGTCCTGTGAGGGGGATATTTGACTATATATATATAGATATATGACTCCTTAATTGTCCACGCTCATGGGTACACCACTTGCATAGGTTTAATATTTGTAAATAAAACGGCTAATCACACAAATCACTGCAACAATAATAAAAAACATTGTTTAATGTTAATCCTTGGACCCCTCCTCTTGACGCATGGACACACCCATGCGTCAACTCACCAAACCTGGATTCCTGTCTTAAAGAAAAAGATTAGCTAGATCATATCCCAGGCAACATCAGGGCATCTCCTCCCCTGGAGCAGCACCACCCTGGACCTATAATCCTGCAATAAAAATGTTAGTGTGTTTTGCATATTAAGTTTGCTTAACACCTGGTTCTCCCAGGAGCCTGCATACACACCATCATGGCCTGGAAAGCAAAATCTGGAAGTAAAATCAAACTTCATACCTGTAAACAATTGTATCATAAGAACAAGAAGCATTCAACATCAGCAAGACAAGTGTCATGTGCAGGTTTTCTCAAATCAGTAAACTACAATTATTTTCATAAGTCGCCTCAGACATGGATCATCCCATGTACTCAGGCAACATTAATGTAATCGGTGACTGCTCTTAAGCAAAGTCACTCCACTTATATATTACTATGGGCTCAAAAGTGGCCAGCTAATGAGCCCATATCAAACTATCCCAGAAACACTGTATCTCTTATTTGGTTTTCTCATGTCACTTGTCCACTTCTGCCGAATCCTCTACACGCAGTCATAGAAAAACAAACATTAGCAACACAGTGACCATTGGTGGTCAGACGCAGGTCGACAGGTTCCAGAGGTGCCATAAAAAGACCATAAAGTTAGCCATCTATAGCTGTGGAAAGAAGTAACACCAGTTCTCAACACAGGAAATTTCACACATGTTATTCACATTATCAAAGTAGCCATCACATTTTCCCATCAACACAATGCAACAGCATCACCACTCATAACCTGTAAACACAGTTTTCCTCACACATAAACCCAGAAATCCTGTAGTAGGAAAAAACATCAACCAGTTGTCCTGGTATAAATCGCATCATCAATCCACATGAAGAACTGGCATGCTGTAAGAAAAGAAAATGCAAATATTAGCGCTTGCGCAGGCGTATGCATACTTTGTCACAGTTATCTCTGTGAGCAACACAAGCCTATGAATAACACACCTGATAAATGCACAGACACAGAAAATGGCATTTAAAAGGTTAAATCATCATGCAACCTCGAGTGTTGCTGTCATCTTTCTGCTCCTGTAAAAGGAAACACATGGGTTCATCTGCACCTTTGTCAGGTGGGGGTTAACTTCACACAATCATGTTCAGTCAGTCAGTCAGTTATTTTAAAATTCTCACTCATTCACTCAGTGGTTCCTTCTTTTGCTAATTGTGGAAATTATCATCGCATTCGTTTCCACGCTCAGCAAAACGACGTTATTTCAAAAAGAAAAATAATTTAGACTGGATTTCCTCGTTGAATCCTTTTTGGGGGGGACTCTCATTTCCTAATTGTCCCAAATAAGTGGCTTTCTCCTGAACCCATTTTAAATGTGGAGAAACTCACTTGCAACAATTTTCTTGACGACGTGTAACGCTTTTAATTCCCAACTTGCAGATCTGCTCAAAGAAAAGAAATTCACAAGCAAAAATCAGTGCTTGTTCAAAAATGAAAAATAAAAAATAACAGAGATTATCAAACCAAACTTTCAGTGCACTGTGAAAGTATCAAAATAAAAAGGCCTTGTTAAGTCATGACACAAACTCCTCATCAACTTCACAACAGGAGAAGAATTATCAGCTAGATTCACTCCAAACCAACCATCAACTGCACAACACACAACATAACCCTAATGTCATATTAGCTATGAGTTTAATCACCAGGTCTGTGCTCTTCACTCATTTAAGCCACAGATCTATTTTATTCAATTTTTCCTTTTTCCCTTCATCATAAAACATGTGACATGCTGTCATGCACTTCACAAAAGACGTTTGTTCTGACGTATTCAGAGTTGTGTATCTAAATACAGGATTCACTCGCACATCAAAACAGGAAACTCAGTGTTTTAGAGTCTCCACTCTAACAAAGTCCAACACATCCCATTCACTCGTGCTAGAATTCAGTCACCTTTCATTAATCTAAAAACCAATCAAATAATTTGCATATCGGCTATTAACCCACTAAGTTGACAGGACAACAGAAATGCATGTTCAAAATAGTATCACAAAAGACAATTTCCCTCATACAGTAAATTACTTGTGCTGCTCAATCAAGCAGGAAGCTTCTCCCAATTTACTATATCAACAAATAAATTTATTGTCTGATCTCTGGTTGGTCAAACCAGGATCTTTTTTCCCCACAAAAGTTAAACTGTTGTCCTGCAACCTAGAGAGTCAATTTTTTGCATTGGATAAATTCAGCATTTGATAACAAGTGTCTGCTAAATTGACACTATTTTAACACTGATGAAAGATAACAAGATAATTTTCATTGCATGGGTGTTTGTGTTATTAGGCAGGTCTAATGCATGTCTGTGGAGCTGCATATCCAGCAGAGCATGTTCTTACAGCTGCCTTTCCTACACACTTCTCTGCTATTATTTAATCATTTCTTAACTAATGTGCTGTGAGTCCACTGGTCTTTGCATCACACGGGGTGACTTGGACAAGATGATAAACAGACTCACGCTTAAGATGTTGTCTAATCTTCATAAGCTCTCTTGTGTTTGTGTTAGTAGGGTTAATGCATGTTCTGCTTGTGTGTTGTGATTCTGTATATATTTCTATTTTCGCAGTGTTTCAGACTCCTTCACAATTTTCCAACTTAAGCAGTCAGTTTTGTTTTCCCCAGGTTTGCTAACCCAAATTTTGATTTCCCACATTTAATAACAAAATTTGTGTTCTCACCACTCTCACTATTGTCCTCTGCCACATCAATAGTCCAATAGCAGGCAGTTTCTCCTTCAGCTTTGTCCTGTCCCTCCTCTGATGCGGTTGACTTTGTGCTAGTGGCTGAAGTGCTGCCGCTGCCTTCTTGGGCGACTTCTTAGCAGCTGCTGCCGGTTTCTTGGCTTTGGCCGCGGCGGGCTTCTTGGCTTTGCTCTCAGTAGCCTTGTTCATCTTGAAGGATCCGGAGGCCCCGGTGCCCTTGGTCTGCACCAGAGTGCCCTTTGCCACCAGGCTCTTGATGGCGGTCTTGACACGGGCCTTGTTCTTGTCCACATCGTAGCCTCCGGCAGCCAGAGCCTTCTTGAGAGCGGCCATGGACAGGCCGTTGCGCTCCTTGGAAGCGGCCACGGCTTTCACAATCAGCTCGCCCACGCTGAGGCCGACCTTCTTGGGCTTGGAAGTCATCGTCTTCTTCTTCTTGGCCTGAACCTCTGCACAGGGCGCAGGGCGTGTTTATGATGGAGCCTTTCCCACCACAGCACTGGCACGTTGAACGCATCATGAAGGGTCCATTTCTTTCATGTCGCTAGCCAGCATGCTAGCCGCATGTGGCTTGCCCGAGTCACTCAGTCCTTTCTGAGCAGTTCAACATGCTGCCACCGCCATCTTGCTCGCCCCTCCGTGGAATTCATCCAATCAGACAGGAAGATGGGTTTGCTTTCTTCTGCTGCTGCTGTTTATCCACATTGCTGCTGCTTTGCTGGGACTTTTTGTGCTCAGGACTTGTTGCTGTCTCTTTATCATGTTATTGCTTTGGAGCTGCATTCCTTATCTTCAGGGAGGAGTGAGCTCGCTTGTGAGGTTGAGAAACACATGGCACTGTAAATAAGTTAGCCAGAAACTTGGCCTGCATGTTTCCAATGATGTTAAAGTATAACTTTCTTCCGACTGCTGCATGTGGAAAATTGATTCAGGTCTGCTTTTCACCTGAAAGTGACAAACTAAGACATGTTCATTATTATCATCACTACTTAATCAACACACATCTCTCTCTCTGTTTTTGTGAACAATCCTTTCTTAAAAGCAAAAAATAAAATCGTGGTTGTTTTTGGCTGATCAACACAAAACCTTTTCCCTATGATTTATTTTTCATCTACAATATAAATTCTTCCTCTTTTTCATCTGCATAAATAAATCACATGGCTGATGATACCATGGTGATCCATAAATATAATCACCAGTTTATTCAATTATTTTTAACCCAACAAAACAAATAAGATAAGATAAGATAACCTTTATTAGTCCCACACGTGGGAAATTTGTTTTGTCACAGCAGGAAGTGGACAGTGCAAAAGTTATGAGGCAAAAATTAGAATACAATAAGAATAAATACAGTACACAACTGTACAGAATAGAATAAAATACTATATACAGTAGAATACAATAAAATAAATATACAATAAGATAAAAATAGAATACAAATACTATATACAACTGAGTAAAAATACAACGATGACAGAAAGGATTATTGCACTTAGTATTATTGCATATGTATGGATGTGTGTGCTTGATCAGTTAAAGTCTTTATTATGGAGTCTGACAGCAGTGGGGAGGAAAGACCTGCGAAATCTCTCTGTCCCACACCGTGGGTGCCGCAGTCTCCCACTGAAGGAGCTGCTCAGTGCTGTCACAGTCTGCTGCATGGGGTGGGAGATGTTGTCCAACAGGGATGACAGCTTAGCCGCCGTTCTCCTGTCACTCACCACCTCCACTGGGTCCAGAGGGCATCCTAGAACAGAGCTGGCCCTTCGGATCACCCTGTTCAGTCTCTTCCTGTCCCCAGCAGAGATGCTGCCGCCCCAGCAGACCACACCATAAAAGATAGCAGAAGCCACAACAGAGTCATAGAAGGTCTTCAGGAGTGGGCCCTCCACTCCAAACGACCTGAGTCTCCGCAGCAGGTACAGCCTGCTCTGCCCTTTCCTGTAGAGGGCGTCTGAGTTATGAGTCCAGTCCAGTCTATTGTTCAGATGAACACCAAGGTACCTGTAGCTGTCCACAGCCTCAATGTCCATACCTTGGATGTTCAGTGGTTGCAGTGGAGAATGCTTGTGCCTGCGGAAGTCTACCACCAGTTCCTTGGTTTTACTGGCGTTGATCTGGAGGTAGTTCAGCTGGCACCAGTCCACAAAGTCTTGGGTCAGACCTCTGTACTCCTTGTCGTCCCCATCAGTGATGAGGCCGACTATTGCAGAGTCATCAGAGAACTTCTGCAGGAAGCACTGGGTGGAATTGTGGGAGAAGTCTGCAGTGTAGATGGTGAAGAGAAACGGAGCCAGAACCGTTCCCTGTGGGGCCCCCGTACTGCAGACGACCCTGTCCGACACACAGCCCTGAGTCCTCACATACTGTGGTCGGTCGGTGAGGTAGTCCAGGATCCAGGTAGTGAGGTGATGGTCCACTCCAGAGTTCACCAGCTTGTCCTTTAGAACCGAGGGAAGAATGGTGTTGAAGGCACCATAAAGGCAAACAAACAAGGCAAATAAAGGCAAATAAACAAAAACATGATGCTGATGCTACACACACACGAGTCAAGGTGCAGGAAAACTGCTCACGGGAACGCTGCACACTCCAGTTATCACAGTTATCAGAGCTCTGTTCCCCTCTCTTTGAGTAGTTCTCAGACAGCTCTTGATCTGATAATGTGTAGCTTGCTCATCAGCTCAGAAGAAAAAGAAGAAAAAAAAACCGCAACGCAACATCACACAGTAGTTGCATGCTCTGCCCACAGCGGCAAAGTCTTACACTTTCATATTCAATACAGCTTCTCCATCATGTACTATTAGATGTTTCATACAGGGTTCAGCATATTAGTTGTCTTCACAGGTGTGCTGTATATCTCAACAATGGCTCATAATAAGTCTTTCACACAGGTCAAGTGCCTATATGCACTTCATTAGTTTAAATATTTATCTATATCACTTCACCTCATATGTCATTTTACAAAATTTGAGCAACCACAAGCTTAATGTAGATTACTTTTAACAACTATCCACCTCAATTAAATCTATGGTCTGGCACACAGGCTGTTGTCGATCAGGGCAAGCTAAAGAGTTAACATTTTGTGTCAGCAAGGGGTGGGGGGAAAGCCATCCACCAGAGCATATCTCAAGTGCTACTGATGTGGGCTGGCCCTGTCCACACACTCCTGGCTGCTTAGGAAACCATGATAACAACAGCAGTCGGTGTCACAGACCACGTGTTCTACTCCGCACACACTCACACAACAACAACAACAACAAATATCCTCACTCACAACCAACAAAAATTAGGCCTATTGTCTCAACGCAGTCTCACACAGTGACCGCGTGCTCTGCCGCACACAGTGGCAAAGACTTACAACGCAGTCTCACACAGTGACCGCGTGCTCTGCCGCACACAGTGGCAAAGACTTACAATGCAGTCTCACACAGTGACCGCGTGCTCTGCCGCACACAGTGGCAAAGACTTAAACTTACTCGGTGTTGCTTAGCGTGTAATATCAGCCTCGAATCCCGCCGATCGCCATTCATCGAGGAGAAAAGACAGACAGCGAATCCACAGGAACTTCCTGGCTGACGTCAGTCTTTCAGCGTGTCCCTCCTCCCCTCGGTGAATGCGATTCCAGGGCTCCGGCTCTCGAAGGACCAATTTATGATAGGTTTGTAGCTTGAACCCATCCGCTGGAACGTTGAAGGCAATATAATTACACTGCAAAGCAAGACACAAGTAGGCAAGCTTCTTCATGTTTCTCGTGCACGGGAGAGAACCGGACAGGCACCGTTCCTTCGCTTGACCCCAGTTGCTCTCGTCCGTTCTCCCGTACCACTGTTCTTTTATTGAGGTTACATGAATATGCATAAGTTCATTAACATATGACGTCTACATACACACAAAGAGTACCTTGCCTGTGTGTGTGTGTGTGTGTGTGTGTGTGTGTGTGTGTGTGTGTGTGTGTGTGTGTGTGTGTGTGTGTGTGGACTGCTGATCAAAGGGTCAAACATCCTTGGTCAGGAAGAGGGTAGCCTCCCCCTCACCCTGGATGGTTCATCCTAGATAACACGGTGAGGAAGTCCTGCAGTTCATCTAAACAAAGAGCACTTAGACTAGAACAGACGCAACTACGTTAATCCTACCATAAAACAATAAGACACGGTATGACCTCTCATGCTCCCAAAGTGCTGTCTAATACACACAAAGTTTGCAGACTATCAAGGATCAAAACCTCTACCAATCTACAACTAATCACAAAACTCTAAGCATATATAAGTAAATATTTCTAAGCATAAATGACAATCAACAATACAAATCTAACACATTTCACCTCTCATCCTAGAAGCTTCTTCAGCTCTAACACCAAATGGTGGAGAATCCCAGGTATTTAAACCCTTGTGGGAGTTGTCCCTCAATAGGGTTAGAACCAACACAGACAAATCATGTCTAAGTGACTCCAGTTTGTTCATGTAAATGGGGAGTCCTCTTTCAACACGTTCTCATCCCAAAGTGTAACATATTAGGCCATGTGACAAATTGTCGGTATGTTACACTTCTGGCTACCCAAAACGTCTCTATGTTATGTGAACGGAAATGTCAGGAAACACGAGTACCGTTTGGAATTAATCTACACATGTACATTTCGTTTTACTTTCTCATCATTAATCACTTTGGAAAACACTATCTAATACGATTAAGACTGTGTTTATGTCATGATAGCTGTGTGGCAGGCAGGATGAGGACCCAAAATGCAAACTCACGGACTCAGGGGATAAACTCAAAATCACAGCTTTAATGCTGGAAGGCAGATCACAAGAAATACAAAACCTAAACCGGGAACAATAACTAACACTTGCAGAGAGACACAGGGAAATCCACGCAGCTAAGAGGGAGACTACGACACAGAACTGAGGGAGACGCAGACGCGGAACAGAAAACAAAAAGGAAAGCACAGCTCAGTTCAGGGGGCCGGCCGTGCACAAGGCAACGGCGACGACGTGGAAACAGTTCAGGGGGCCGGCCGTGCGCAAGGCAACGGCGGCGACGAAGGAGACGACGGAGCAGTTCAGGAGGCCGGCCGCGCGGAAGGCAGCGGCGGCGGCGGCGAAGGGGACTGAGCAGTTCAGGAGGCCAGCCGCGCGGAAGGCAGCGGCGGCGGCGAAGGAGATGACGGAGCAGTTCAGGAGGCCGGCCGCGCGGAAGGCAGCGGCTCTCCAGTGTTAGGCGTGCTGGCCATGGCCCGGTGGGCACAGGACCAGACGAGGCAGGACCAGACGAGGCACAAGCTGAAGCTGGACCAGGAGGAGCAGAAGCCAAAGTCGAAGCTGGGCCAGACGAGGACGAGGACTCTGAGGCCGGGCCAGACGAGGACGAAGACTCTGAGGCTGGGCCAGGCGAAGATGAGGCTGAAGCCGGAGTCGAAGCTGGACCAGGCGACGGTGAAGCAGGAGCTGAGACTGAGGCCGGACCAGGCGAAGCACAGGCTGGAGCTGGACCAGGTGTGGCAGAGGCGGAGGCTGGACCAGACGGCGACGTGGACGGAGACACG